ACTCGAACACTAATTCCTCCCTCCAAAGGGTTTATTGGGACCTCAGCGACCTAAGTGGTCTCAATTTGTCGAATTTTGTCATTTCATATACGGCACGGGTGCTTTCCCCTTGACCAAACCATGGGAATTCAACAAAGTCAAATAGCTGGACGACACCCCTGTCACTACAACATCTTTTTGCTAACCTCTTTGTGTTTCTATTTCATTCTATTTCTTTCTTTTATATATATATATATAGTCTGTTACGGTCTTGATGTGCCTTGATTAATTAATGTTGGGCCTTTATTTCATCAAACAATCACGCTTATTCTGGGATCACCCACCCAATTTGCCTCAATGGTCAGCTTCCCGCTCCTTTCCGTCTGACACCCGCTCCGCCTCGTGGGCCGCGTTGCGGCTCGTGGTCTTGGCCACCGTCCACGCTTTGGAGACCGCCTCCGCCGGAGCGCGAGGCCAGCGCCACGCGTGAAAGCGGTCGGTGTGGGTTCTTGGTTTGGATTTCGCGATATGGATCGAGTGACCAGACCGGTCATGGTCAACATCCGATCCAATGTGGCCTCAAGACTTATAGTGAGATGGGGCTGAATGGTTGTTGTAGATGACATTTAATGCTAGAATGATTTGGGAAACAGTTTGGTTTTGTTCTTTGGATCACACTCAAAACACTACGATGGCTGATATAATGGAAACACTAGGCTTGCACATGAAAGTAGCGTGCAATCCTGTGGAATGCTTATGTTTCGGAGTGTGGAATGCTGGTGATTGTAAGTACAAGGTTGTGAGGCACGAAGAACTTAAAGCCCAACACAACACAAAAACATGCGCAGTAAACATCCGAGGTATGGCATAGATAAAAATCCACGACTCTGAGTATCACAAACATATCCCTGTGGGAAGCATATCATCTTCCAAGCAAGCTGCCAGGCAGCATTGGAGCAACAAGCAAGTACATGTGTTCACATCTCTCCACACCAAGCAACCAAGCTCGACCTCAGGCTGACCTCAGGCTCGACCTAATTATGTGTTGGGTCGGCCAATGTGGATGCTCATTGATGGGATTGTGGCCAAAGGGCCACAGGGAGGTAGGTAAGAAGTATACCGTATACCCGTCTTCCAACTGAGTACATGCCACAAGCGACTCTGAAATAAGATCAAAAGCAGGAACCGCTTTTAGGTCAGATGACACAGGTTTCCACAAGCAAACTAACAGTTCTCTCAAACCAATGCCGCCAACGAAAGCTCAGAGACTTTCACCTCTTAACCGTGTGGTGTGCACCTTCCAACTTCACCACTGTGTCACTCCCGATGATCCGTATAGGTGTCTGATCTTCCAGCTTAGCTGCATGGTTGGTCCAGTTTCGGTGAACACCCTGTCACCCTTTAAGATTTGTACATACCATTAAATGGGTGAACGCTCTTCGCTCTTCGGCGCACACGTTATGGAACTGAGGATGGATGAACAGCACTGGGCGGAATGGATGCCAAACTCAGCTGCAAAACAGATCGAAAAGCAATGGCCAAACAGCTGACAACAAATTAATACTCCATGGATCTACATTGACCCTTAAAGACCCCCCATGTATTAAGCACATACTCCTTTGCAGCATGGATTGTTTGGGAAACAAAAACACATCATGAGTTGCACAGCAGCCTGCATTGTTTAAAACCAGCAAACTCAAACTGACGTATCTTCTTCCCCCTTGATCGATCGTGAACAAACCATGGGCTTTGTAGAGAACAGAAACAAAACAACCCCCAGCTCTGCTACTACACTAACGAAGGAAAGGGTCAAACAAGTTAAAGGGCCACTGGCACACTTCCATCATGCAGGCTAACCATTCAATACCACATGGCTCTCACTATTAAATATTGTCTCTGTTTCTCTAAAGATCTCTAAAGTCACTTTTCCCTCCCTCCCCCACGAGAAAAAACCAACACCACCGACCGGCGACCCCTGCATCGCCCCGTCGCCACCCGGGTGCCCGAATGGACCCCCCCCACCATCGAACCGCCGCAGCGATCAACCGGAGCGGAGGCTCCCGACCTGGGTGGTCTTCTCGCCCAAACGGAGGCCTTTGAGCTCGTCGCGCAGCTGTGCTCCTCGTCCGAAAAAAACAAAAAAACACCGGTCAAACCCGTGGGGTCCAAGTGGGTGGAAGCAGTGGCCAAGTGTGGCTGTGGCCGTGGGTGGAGGCACCAGATATCACCAGATGACGGTTGACGATTGATTAGAAAAAAGACAATATCCGTCCGGGCTACACGGACCAATCTGAAGACTCAAGGGGCCATGATTGGTGCGATCAGTGCGATCCCGCCGGTTTTCCTTGGATGAGTTCGTTGTTTTCGGGGAGCTTCCGAGCGCCGGCTGCTGGCTAGCAATTGGCTACTTGGGAGTGCCCGCTGTGGGTGGTCGGTATTTTCTCACGAGTTGTCGGCTTCTTGTTCTTCGTACAGCTAGTCGTTGAGATGAGACCCGAGCGTCCGCATGCGTTCCACGGCGGCCGGCTGCGCTCGGATGATCAGATTCTGAGCGGGATGAGGTAGAGAGTGGGGAGGCGTCGTGGATCGTCCGCAAGTCCGTGCATCCAAATGGGGTAGGTTTTTGTTCAATCATAATCCACAAACATGATGCTATATGGGTGTTCCGGATGCGTCACTCACGGCCGTTTTTGGTCTACAGATCTCTATAGACATGCTGCTCCGAGCAGACGCTGCTTGGAACACGAAGACACCTCCATCTTTGCCTTTCTTGGGAACGAAGACACCTCCATGTCGACGTCCCTCGGAACCGGAACCCAGCCACCTCGCGCGTTTACGCGAGGTTTTGCCAACGTTCCAATCACGCAACTGGTCAACCCGCTCCCTCGGCGTCCTCGCTCCATCCGCGTGCAGTGCTGCAAGAGGGAATAAATGAAGCGCTCAGCGCTAGGCTCCGACCTTGGTCGTACACGGTGTGTCCCACTGTTCATCACCTGGTACATGTAGCTGCCGATCGAAAGCATGGCGGAAACAGAAATGGATGGAGGCCCGACTTGAATCATCTAGCTCAGCCTCTACTGCATCAAACCAAACCTCAAACAAAAACTGTATTATGCAGCAATGCAGAATACTATCCATGAACAACCCGTGTGACTCGACACCTGTTTCAAGAAACATGTTCAGTGGCGGCTGGTATCATTCAAATTCCATTAAGTGATACTATTGGTACCGGCTCAAAAAGGATAATAGCACCATCATATACCGCATATACAACTGCCCACCCACCTAAAACTATATATCTCGTCTATGTCAGCAGACCGTCTAGTTCTTCTCATGGCCATCGCCTCGATCCGCGAGCGCGCCGATCACAGCACAGCACCGAGACGCATGCCCGCTGCGCAGTTGCGGGCTACGAAGCGCTGCGCCTCTTGCCACAGCGAAGCGTTCTGCTGCCAGTGGCCCTTGAGAGCACTCCGCGGAGTGCGGAGCATGGCCTGGAAGGACTGGAAAGAAGACAACTCGGTAGGACCGATCGGGTTGGGGGTTGGAGAGGTTTGAAGGGTGAATTCGACGTATTCGATGAATATTTGAGGGGTCAATCATCTAGTCCCATGGAGTGTCTGCTTGGTAGAAGGGGTGCTGTATGTTTACTGGCGCAGGCTGGAGGCACCGGGGGGTGGGGTCTGCATGAAGTAATACCCTTGCCAAAAGCGTATGGCTCAAAAACGCACCTGAACTTACTGCATGGCAAATAATTAGATGCAAATAGGAACCTTGCACTAAAGTTGTGCGTTTCCGGGCTATTATAGTGCAAATCAGGACGATTCCAGAGTTGAACATGTACCTACATAGATGCCCATTGCTGCACCACACCCAGTTGTACAAGTTACAGTCGAGTTACATGAATGAATGTATGTCCGTCTGATTCAGGTTCTTCGTTTCTCTTCCTTCGAGACCTATCAGGATTCCAGGCGAAGCCCATGCGGCCGAGGGCACTGTGTAGAACATCTCCACCAAGAGCCCCGGATACTTCCGCACGCACAAGTAGGCCCGACAAACCACCTGAGTTGCTCACTGATTCCGTATGGAGCGCTGCAAGAGTCTTTCGGACGACATGGACCAAAGCCCTATAAGAATCCTGACCCGCCAATGGAAATGGTTTTGAGGGTGCAAACCCCAACTGGAGGGCTCAACCCCATGGAGTGCCCAAGGATTTTTAGGGAGACACTTGAGAACAAGGAATGCTCCTGAAGCAAAGGTCGTCTTCGCAGGGGACGGCGACCCAGCCTTTAAAGAAAGGAACATCCGGGTCCCGAATCGCATCTCCCAATCTGCTCTTCACAGGAATGTCAGTTCTGGTCCAATGATGTGACTTCAGTGAAGATGGCTATCGACGTGGCAGTTGCTGGGCGCTCAGTGGGGTCAAATCACCCCAAAACAAAGCAAACCAGAAACGACACCCTTAGTCACGAAACTGCGGGACTTTCCGAATGTTTGTCTTCCAGTTGCTCCAGGGAACTTATATCAGTTACATTGATACCTGAAACAAGCACCCCAACTGAACATACAAAGGCAAGCACTCCATATATTGCATAGGCAAAAATTCAAAAGGTATCAAAAGGTGCTTTCTGATCAGAACGCATGCCCTACCCAAATCCTTTTGGAGTGTTCTATGTTCAGTCTAGTTACATCAAGGTCTATATGGGTTTCCAACCTAACCACAGCTTTGGCATGAACAGTTATCATCCATCATCGGGAACTATCCAACTCTTACTCCAACATGTCTTTCCTGACTCCCTCAGTGTTGGAAAGCCAGTTCATTATCAGTGGGAAAAAAGCAACTCGCTAAAGAATCCTAAAGAGGTTGTGCTTTTGCTCCTTTCCTGATTTTCCTGGGTCTGTTTCCCCATCCACCATCATTGCAGTACTTTTCTCAGCTCCTTCAGCTCTCCTCCCCCCCCAACCACCGGAGCCTCTTGGAACCGAAAAGGTACGCCTTCTCCAGGGTCCGGAGACGACTGTCACCCGTCGACAACGCGGACCGCCACGGGCACCGGCCAAAAGATCCGCTCCATGAGCTCGTCCGTGACGGCCTCGATGAGCTCGTCGTATTGGATGGTGGTCGCCGGGCGGCCACCTGGAGCGGAGCTTCGTTCGCGAGCTCGCGCGCGCGAGCACGAGCTCGGTCAGTGGAGGCCGGGTGGTTGTTGTTTCTTCGCTGGACCGACAGTCGGCGCGGCGCGGTCACCGCGCGTGAGGTGTGTTCACTTTGGTGCCAGAGTCGTTGCGGGGTGACGGAGGTAGAGCTATTGGGAACCGCAGTGTTCGCCGGTGGGAAGGAGGTGGGGGGTTGACGAAGGAGGAGCTTTTGGAGGGAGTGTTTGTAGTGGGCATGGCGCTGTTCAGGGAAGTGTGTGGATTGAATTTTCAAATATATTAGGAAAAAGCATTTTTGGACCAGAATTTTAATATTATGACATGCTTGGTGGCCTTGATGACCAGAGTTACCCTCACCTTTCACAAAGGAATCCAAAGCCTAGGAAACACATGGACAGCCTATCCTGTTGTGAAGGCTAAACGGAGGGTGTGTGGAGAAAGGGGGTCAGCAAAAATCGCTTATACGAAGTTAGTGCATCAAAAATACCTTCCACGAAGTTCTGCGAAGGTTTCTGGGATTTCGTTGCAGTCAGTTCTCCTACTGGCCCACCATTCCACGAACTGTCCACAAACAGCCTTGGGTTCTACGAAGGTCACGCGCCTTCCACGCCGTTAGTAGAATAGGTTTTTGCAAAACCCTTTCTGTGCACTACCCTTCCGTTTGCCTTTGATGTTGGGGCCATTTCCGATCCAGAATGGGAACGGGAGAACAAGGGGATGACACGATCATGTCAAACACGTGTAGTTCAAACTTGAAACCAAGCACAAACCGCTTATACCTCTTTGCGGTTGCCCTCACTGCGCCACAAATGCACTGGTGCCGACACCTTGAACGGCGAAGTGAATCAGCATCGAATCCAATGGCTCCTTTCCAAGAGCATAGCCAAAATCCACGTGCACCTCAGTCAGCCAGAATCGGGGAAAGGTCTCAGTCAGCCAGAATCTCAGTCAACAAGGTTTGACCAGTTTCAGCAAGCTTCCTATGGTCTCCAGACTTGTCCAACTCTCTATCCGAAACTCAACCGCGACGGCCAGCAGCCAGTTTGGTTTGGACATGCAGCAGCCATCTTGGTGTCCAAAGCATATGGTGTCCATGTGCTTTCGCCGACTCCAAAGAGTGCTCCAGCAGGTCGGTTTGTTGCTGACCACACTCCCTGAAACACACATTGGACGTCCTGGCCCCAAACATTGGAGGATGATGTTCCGAATATCAAGTAAGTATAAAGGGTGCCATCCACTTCCATGCTGCATAGTTACTTATCATTACCATCTTTCATTGTCGGAAGGGTTGAAAACAAGGCCAACCTTGTCATAGGTCTTACAACCTCAGACTCTGGTCTTTTGGAGGCGCTTCTGTAGGGTTGTTCGGTTCCTAAGGCTTCTCCGGCTGCAAGTGTGCAAGACTTCGAGAGGACACCGGGGAAGAGCCACCGGATTTGGGGTTTCCCGGATGCAACAAAAAGAGCCGGATCTGAACACAAATACAGATGTTCTCATGCTCGGTCATCTGACTCTCCAACCATCAGTATCCTCAATTCTCAGTCCGACTTCGCATGACCTCATTGCAAAAACCATCAAACACCTATGTCCTGAGTTTTGACGGTTTCACTTAGTGGTTTCTGTGAGTCGTTGTCCGTGTTACGTCAGTGTCTTTGGAAGATCATTTCATAATAGTTCAGTGACCACGAAATGACACGCGCCCCAGTGTCCATGTCTCCACATGGCTCAAGACTAAAATCCTTGGGTCTGTATTGAACTAGGGAGACCTCCCGGGTAACGACCCCCGGCCAGAAGGAAAATGGACCAAAAACCCTTGGTTGCAGGTCTCCCTATAAAAATATGCACACACCCATATTGGCCACTCCAAGCAACATGGTACCAGTAAGGAAGTTTGCTACTGATTCAAGCAAAAATGCCACTTCCAGTGGCGTAGTCAGGTGATTCCATGGCCCAACCGCTCTGTGCGACCGTCATTCGACACGGTGCCAAGCGCCCATCGACGGTGACCATGAAGTTCTCCTCAGCGTTGGGTGCCGATAGGTCCTTGAGTTTGTAAAATAGGACACCTGACGTGCCCAAGCACACGTGACATTGATAGTCAGTGCGTAGGGAACTCCCTGTTTCAAGGGGAATATGATATACACCGGCGACCCCTAACCACCAGGCCGGCGGCCTAACGACCAGCCCAGGCACCCACTGGGCATCCAAGGCACATGATGACGATCCCCAAGCCCAGCCACGAAGCTGAGAACCGCCGAGATGGCTGAGGTGAAGGCCTTGGATTTGTCCAGGCTCCCGGGGAAAACAATGTATTTATCAACCAATGATCTCATGAAGGAACAGCAGGAAGGGAACCAACAGCTGTTTCGGACAGCTGTTGACCCAGTGGGACGTTCCAGATTCACCCAGTGGGGGACCATATGGGACCCATCACCCGATCAGCAAAACCAAGGGGCTAAGCGTGCCAAGGATTTGGCAAAATCATCGCCTCAGCCCATGTCCGACCGATTTCCGGAAATCATCAGGTTCCAGGTCCACCTATGGTCACCTATTGATTGTACACGACCGGGGTATCCCCTCCTATTCATCAACCAATGAAAAAGGGACGATCTATATAGCCTTATATAACATGCCTTAACCACATAGCCGGGGGTCACCAACAAAACCCTCCTTGACCATGGAAAATGAAGTTCAAGCTCCCAGGCTTGGCTCAGCCTCCCAGCCGGCACGTGGGTCGCCCTCTGACTCCCCCATCCATAGCTATGGATGGGAAGGAGTACACGGTCCACGCATCGGTCGAAGGAAGTCGAGCTGAACATCCTCGAGTTGAACATATGGATTCATATGGATTCGAGCGAGAAGGAAATCAAAACCCATCTGGGACAAGTGTCAAAGTTGGGCACGAAGCCTGCATTCGGGTCTAAACCGTCTCATAATTCTAAACCGTCTCATAAAGAAATAAACGCCCAATAGCAAAAAGTACATAAGACCCGATGAATGAGATCAAATAAACGAGCTGTTAGCTATATCAACAGCATCAGCAACGGTTCTCGTCCTGCCCCATGCATCGAGATTTTCCCACGTCACGATGATCTGACAGTCAGTCAGATCTAAGATGGAAAGTATCCAACAGCTGGCCATGTGCTTTATTGCCTTGAGCTCTTGAGGATTGTTTTCATACATGGTCTTGAACTCCCCACGCTCCAGTCGGTACATGAAAGGTTTGTTCGCGAAGCAATGCTGTTTGGAATGTTTGGATGGAAGAATGAGGGACAGTTCAAATGCAATCCGGTGTGGGGGATGATGGTCAAGTACTGATAGAGACTGATAGATGTCCATCCTGCAGCCACCCTTCCCAATCCGTTGGATAGACTTGGAGTGCGAGCGCCGTTGTTACCCAGTCTTGATTGACTTTGGGCGGGAGGGAAGTCATTGGATTTCCACCGAGGACCTCAATCGTGTAGGGAGGAATGAGGGATGAGAGAATCATGGTACCTTGGTTAGGTAGACACAGATTTCAAGCCTGCTGCAACACAAACAGATCTCAAAGACTCCACAAGTTCCTTCTGGGCTGAGGATTTGTGGAGGTCCAAAGGGCACCCCGTGAGATGCACCGAATTGGCCGCATTGCATGAAGCATCCCAAGATGCATATTTAAGTTCCACAGTCTCTACTGTGGTCTGAGGGGTGCTTTGTGAGAAACATAGGTAGCGAGTAGTAACATACACTCCAAAACTGGCAGCCAAGTGGCGATTGTTGTTGAGACGCAAAAACGTCTTCAAAGTGCCCTTCTCCTTACTCTTCAAGATCTTAAGCCGCACAAAAATGCGTCAACATGCCGCAAACAACAGCAATGATCGAAGACAATTGAAGGCACGGCATTGTTTTCGGCTTGAACGTGTCCAAGTACTTTGCCCAGCGTCCCCATTGGTCATGAAGTACTTGGGCCCAAAGGGCGCAGATCCTCCATCCAGCCGCCCGGAGCGCACATACTTCAAGGTCCGCGCTCCATCAATGAACCTTGCAGGCAAAAAGCGGGGACTTTGATCACTTGTGCTGCAACCAGATTCTAGGAGTATCATATTGAACACATAATATATATATATATATGTGTGAAAGTAAATTCAATTTAACAACTAATATACATCAATATACGTATAATTAATATGACTGGGATTGACTGGGATTTGATCACCCAGGACCCATGAGACTGGACAACACCCGTCGAAGCCCGTCGTCTGAAAATGTCTGAAAACCCCGCCCTGAACGTTTCTCGGGACTCATATGCCCAGTACCATGTCGCATTAGGGGTGATTCTCATGAATGTCAAGATAAGAATATGGATGGGTGTCTAATAACATATGACTGGGGGATTAAGTGATATATGACCCAGCCATATATGTTAAGTGATTCTCATATGGCTGGGGGTCTAATACCTTGGTTGACCTACCTCTCGACACCTTGCGACTGTCTGAGCATGGACCTGGCCACTCAGATGGATTCCGGGGAGATCTGGTACATAGTACATAGCCCTTCACAAACTGTAGGAGATAACTGTACAAGTGAAAGCGAAGGTCCCGCGCTGCTTGTGCTTTTGCGAAATCCTGGTTTCAAGCTCATTCAAGCTAATTATGAATTACTGGGATCGATACTAGTTGCAAATCCAGCTTTTTGCGAAATGCTTTACAGTACGACGGTAAAGAAAGCACTGATCATCTCGATGTTCACCGCTGGGATAGGCTTCAAGTGTGCCTCTACCTACAGCGGGATGGTTTCATCAGGATGGTATGGCGGTTTTCACCTGCATCTGCTCTGTGCAACACCGAAGCTTGGATGCATCGGATGGCGCCACAGGTCCCCGGTTCAGGATATGGCGAAAACCTGCAGCTGAGTATTAGTGCTTTGTAGGTGATCCAAGCGGATTCTTTTGATCCAAAGTGTGGAGACTGTTCGGATGATTCGCTTTGCGTTTTGACATCTGCACATTCGCTTCGGCGATTTCACCATGCAATTCCGTATGAAGGCGCTTCTCACTCTCCTGGTTGTTCTTGGTATCTCGTGTGAGAGTTCGAATTTGGCTCTTGATGGAATCAAGTTCAGCATGAATTTGATGAGACGATGATGAACTGGACTTGGCAGATTGGCTTCCTTGGGACCACGCTGATTGCCATGAATGAACGCAGTTTCTGCAATTCTAACCGCTCCTCCGTAAATCTTGATTACAGTATGCAAGCTGTACAAACTGAGAAAAGGCCTGCACACACGACATCCTGACCTACCTGAAAAGTCAAGCTATACATGGTGGACCATGGCTTCAGGTTTTGACTCATCCCCATATTGAGAAATGATCAGGTCTACTTCTGAGTGATCTTCAGGCCCAGGTCTACCCCAAGCAGACCTCCAATTCCTGTTGGGATGGGTATGGATGGGTGGTGAGTATTGATTGATCATATTAACATGAATATATACATATATATATATATATGTATCTGTTTGGGGGGGGGGTGCTCATCAGAGCTGGTTGACTCTCTATTGTTCATCCCAAATCCGATTGTTTCGGATTGTTTCGGCCACAAAAGTCGGTCGTAGCTGGGCCTGGTGGCCGAGGCTACCAGGCTCGTTGATACCGCCATGATGGTTTTTAGACGGTTGGATCACACAAGTCAGTGAACAAGAAAAAACGGCCTGATGGACTCAGGACTCACACCAGGCCTGATGGAGTCACAAAGGCAAACACTCGGCCTGGCTTGATGTATGAATATATGCATTGATCACAGGTCGAGCGCCCCAACTCATCTGCAAAATATGCATGAAAATATGCCGGTTTCACAAGGGGTCGTCTCCAAGGCACTCCAACATCGCAGTGTTGGGCCCAGTCATAGCAATGATGTAGGTCGCCCGGACATCTTCGAAGCTGAGGCCCTCGCTATTCAGCAACTCCTGCAACTTGGGATCCTGGCACACCGGCCACGGAGCTGGCCACGACGGCCGCCAGTGGGTTCGTTTGACTGGAGGAAAGTGGGATGAACCCATGGATTTCTCCATTCTTGAGCGGTGTTCAAAATTGTGTCATCATGTGTTGTCGTTTCATTGTTTTCACATGTTTTTCCCTGTTGCGGAATGGATTGGATTGGATTGGTGAAGTCCTCAGAACTTCAGATCTGGTGAATATATAGCCCTAGGGATCCAAATACCTTCTCAGAAGGTACTTGTACATAAATAGTCTCCAATCACCGTACCTCAGAAGGTATGTGGATCCATAGGGAAGTATATAAGGGTGCCATCAACAAGCAACCTCTAATTCTGAGTTATTGAAGATGTTTTCCGTCCTCTGTTGGAAGGTACCAGTACCAAGAATGCTACAGTAATGCTGGGGTTCATAAAGTTTTTGGTTTCAGCAAGTCAGCCCAGTCAGACAAAGCAAACAAGTCACACTTGGCCAAGCACGGTGAGTATTGATCCAATTCATTGGATTCTTGGGTTCTTACACCAACAATTCTATCGTTTGATCACCGCAGGACCGTGGTCGTCACAATTGGACGACTGCAGAGTCCAATTCCATATACACTCCATGGGACTGGAATAGATGCCTACATTGACCCCCCCAAACCACCCCAATGTAGGTATATACATACGGCAGTCCCATGGAGCGTCTGGGTATTGAATCACCACCTCGACCATATCCTCTTCTTTTTGGTGTTTCAGTGGCCTACGGCGTTTGCACGGCCGGCGGAGCGGCGTAAGTCGGCCGTTGATCTGTCCTTCCAGATGAGGATCTCCAGCAGTCTTAAGGTCTGCCCCACCTGCTGCTCCTTGTGCATGTCAGGATCTTTCTTCAGCAAAACCTCGAGCAATGCTCAGCAAGGTTTTCGCAGATAAGTCTGCAAGTCGCCAAAAACGTGTATGCCAATGGGAAAATATGGGAAAACAACATAATATGATGATCAGCAAAAGGATGAACAACATAATAAGACGAGTTCGCCCCAGCAAGACAACGAATTCACCGTGTTCCATCGGTCCCATCGGTCCCACCGCGTTCCACACCGTGACACCATCTGTGCCGATTCCACACACCACCGTGCTCTACACATCGGAACGACGTCGAAGAGACTCCGCTGGTCTTCCTCCGCTCAGGGAGCTTCACCTTGCCTGACTTTGTCTTCCTCAGGATCGGTTCGGATGAACGCCGGGGAAGTGCTCAGGTTCCGTGAAAAGCATGTGGATGGATTCCAGGATGATGATGATGATGATGATGATGATGATGATGATGATGATGATGATGATGATGGTTTGAGGGACTGACTGGACCCAGTAGAAAATTCAAACTTGAAGGATGGAATGGTGGGATTCGCTTGAACCGGCCACCCTCATTGCTACCACTGGCAGGTTGTATTTCCCGAAGAAGCTTGGCACCTGAAACGTCCCACAAACCCTTCAGGTCCAGGGCTTCGGAACCGGTGGACCAGGTCCGGGGCTTCGGACATCACCAGCTGGGCGACGAGATGGACCAGGTTGGGACTCATTTCTGAATCTCTTCCCAAACCTGACCGAAATTCATCTACTGCAAGCCGAACCTGACCAAAACACTCAACGAGTCAACATTGCAGTCTCAGCTGACATCGAACAAAATCGTTGCCGCAGTTGTTGAGCTGAGTATCCCTACAGCTTCCCATCACCTTCCTTATTAATTAATATATGGTATTCCGGCGGTATTCCCTAGACTTCCAGGCTTTACCACATCAACTAAGGATTTTCCACTACAAAGACCAGGTCAACAATTTGTGTTCTTGGTCTTGGAAGTCTAGGGTATAGTCATAGTCTAGTAGCTTTGGAGTTTCCTTGTTTGATACTCAAAAGGCCCCCAGCGTCACCTGATCAGTTCAAGCCTCCCCCGCGAGGGCTCGTCCCGATAGCGGCAGCGCACGATCAACGGAGCCGACTTGCTCTCTGCCTCATCGATGTGCCACACACAGGACGGCGGGTCTGAGACAGACTGCATATGCCAACAAAGGAGGGAACACATCGTCAACACAGAATCAGCAACTGCCTGTTGATGGCACCCTTTGTGAAACTTCCCTATGGATCCACTGCCACCGAACCTGAGGTACGGCGAGCAGGGAAACTATTTATGTGGGCACCAGGACGGCCCAGCTGTACTGAAGTCGAGAAGGTGACAGTAGATCCCCAAAAGGCATACGGGGAGATTGGATGGTTTGGAGAGTATGACCTCCGCAGCTTTCCAGGATGACCCAGGATGACCCAGGTGAATCCTTTTGAGGATCCGTATTTCTAGGTGATGTGCAGAAGGGCTTCCTTGGGGCAAAAGGACCATCCGGGTCTTAGGGGTTTGTGTTCTTGGAGCCTCAAATCATGTGCCAAGCTTCTCTACCCTTCCTTCCAATTTCCTGTGCCAAGCATGGTCCAACCACCTCAGAAAAGCTCCAAACCAGGCTTCCTGTCTCACCCCTTTCGTATCTTTCGTCCCGTCCGTCCCGTCTCAGCAGCTCCATCCCATCCCATCCGCTCCCATCCCATCCCATCCGCCTTCCGCGGCGCCGTCTCAAGTCCGGCGCAGGTGCGATACGGAGGCCAAACGGCCAAGGGAAAGCTTCGGTCCTCACCCCACCTGCCGGTCGCGGCTTTTTTCGGGTTTGGGGTCGTTGATGGGAGTTGAAAGTCCAAAAGCAGGTTAAAGCAGCGAAGCATAGACCTGAAAAGAAAGAGCTGAAAACTAGTATATAACTAGTCACTAGTCCAAAGTGAAGCATATAGTGAAGCATAGTCCAAAGCCAAACATCTCAAAGATCCACTTTCTTGGTGAGCTCCGCCAAGAAAGACTTCTGCTTGTTTGCTTGGGTCGTCCCTTCTCGTAAAAATCAAGAAGTTGACCAGATTGATGAGTGGGACATGATTGCCATAGATCTTTCCTGGATGAACCAAGCATCCATGTACCAGAAATTTCCAACAGGTGGTTTTGGTACCCGCCCACAGGTGGTTTCTGGGCATCTCGTGTCACCAGGAAGTACCTCTTGGAAGGTGCAAGTAAATGCATTCTTTGATATTCTTTGTAGGTCCAAATACGAAAGCCATACCTACAAGTTGTCAAATTGGCTGGCTGCTTGGTGTGTTTGGCCCCAAGAGCTTGTGCTGCAAAACTTGGTTTGGATCTGCAAGCTACACTTCGAAGCTGTACACATCCTCTTGATGGCAATTCTGTGAAGGTGGGTAGTGGATAACTGCTGAAATGCGGTTCTACAACAAATGCACAAGCTGACCAATACATGATCAGGATCATTGAACAAATCACCGCCTGTGTGTGAACCTCATTCTCCTCCAGTCTGGATCCAATATGTTCTTGATTGTTCTTGTGTTTCACACCATCCCAAGCTGTTTAGTCTGACTGGTGCTTAGTAGGGAATGGGGGAATAGAGCCATTCCCTCATAATTACCCTTTCAGAATACCAGTTTAACTCGTTTGGTGACACTCCATGTACGGAACAATTGCATTGGATCACGGAATACTTCCATTATACATTTACCGTACCCCATGTTCATATTGCTGGGTTTCACAACTCGACTCTCCGATTTATAAAGTCCCAGGCACGCCGGCTCATGCTTGCAGCACTCATAATCTCCACGCTCCATATGTCTCACCCAGGCGTGCTGTCGCAACAATCCCAGCTCCGCCTCCTGCAACTCGCCCAGGCGACGCGAGGCGACGGTCGCGCGCGGAGGGGTCGGTCGCGGAGGATGCGGAGGATGCTGGGGGGTTTCCCCGTCTCGCCGGTCTCGACAGCGGTGGCAGAAGAAGTGGTGGCACACAACTTAAGGCGAACTCGGAGGCCAGGCTGGCGTGCGTTGCGCCAAGTGGCCAAACAATTATAACACCAGAATCAGAACCAACGACATGGGATGATGCAATGGCCCTGGATGGCCCAAGCTGTAGACCCTGCTGAACTGCTGGAGATCCCACTTTGCAGTCAACTGACCCACGTGCACAGCCGACGGCTCGGCTTCGCGGTCCTGGGGCAGATTCCGGAGAAGCTCTTGTTGCGCCAAGGACTGCCATGACTCTGCATAGGGTGCGCTGCCATGGTTTTCCTCCAAATGAAGCAAAAACGGGTCCAACATGGTCTAACTGGGTACATCAATGGTTTTACCCACCCTGTGCAAGCAAAACTCCAGTTCCACCTGCCACAGGTGTTCCTGGTATAATCATTAATGATTCATGCGATCAAACATAGGGCTGGGCGAAGAAGGGACACCAAACATATGGAGCAAACCAAACATGATCAACCATGTTTTAGAGACATCCAAATGTACTTCACAAGACGTTAAATAAGATAGGGTGAGTGACGGTGAGCATTGGATACAACAAATCTCGTCAACAAAGATCTTGAACAACACATAATTATGCATACAGATTGTATCTGCAATGATATGTCCCAGAGTACACAGAGCAGGTACACCTAGCCTATATACCTCTCTGAACAATTCGGGCAAGTGGGTTTTCCTGGCACAAGGAAGACTTGCTACATCATCTCCTCCTCAAATCGCTTGTGTTTTGCAAAAAGAAACCGCTGCCCAGCGGTTTCAAATCGTTTGAAACATATTGAGAATACTTGAGAATCCATATGAGAGCCCAAGTACAGGTTGAACCCGTAACATCACCATCTCTCTGTGTACTCTGTAGTCCAATTAAGACATTCTTTGATTCAATCAACCATCTCTATAACCATCTCCATCACCATCTCGGTCATCTCTGAAACCACTTCCGCCCCGTCGACCAATGGCCAGGGGTCGATTCCGCGCTGTCGATAGTGGGCGAGTGCCTGGACACGTGTTTCCAGCGCCCAGAAATACCTGCGGACGCGGCGCGCGGGCTCCCACCCGACCGCCATCGAAAAGCGACCCGAAGCAGCCGGGTTCGCACCATGTGATGTTGGGGATCTGACCAATTGATGATAAAGATGCTGCGGAAATAGTTCATGGAATTTAAAGTATCGGATAGATGTACTATATTTCTCTCTGCTCTGGGAAAATGGATCCCTTTCAACTTTCACCAGTTGGTGTACGGGCTACAGGTTGGTTCAGGGCCATAGGGATGCACCCCAGCAGCCACTGGAAAGGACGAATTATAGCAGCCACTGGTGCGGGTCCTTAGGTCTTGTTTCTGTTGAGACACATCCAAATAAAGAACAACAACACTGTTTGCACAATACCAACTTTGTAGTTGGTCGTGTGTAGGTTCCCTTTTCGAACAATTGGGGAAGCCAAACGCACCACAAATGACTCTTGAGCGAAGCCGAGGCAAACCCTGGAAAAGTCTGTTGAGCGGTAGTGCATCATCCATTTAGTAATCCAACCCTGTGTCCAAAATGGGATGACAAACCGACAACCTGGTAGTTCACAAGAATATAACAGAATTAGTGAGATCGAATGGGATGATGTTCACAGAGATTCAATATACAGTATGTCAATAAGAATGCTGGTGGTGCTCGACCAGTCTTGAATCCACCAAACAGTCAATTCAAACCAAGCTACTCATTGCGAAAGGCCCTGGCTGCCATGCTCTCCTTAGATTCCACCAGGTTGCCCTAAACAACACTTTGGTGAAGGCTTTGATATTGGACGGATCTAAGCGATGATGGACTGTTGCAAGTACTGGTTGGGGCAAAGCATGCTGCATTACCACAGCGAAAACAAAGGAAGGAGAAAAGGTCTATCTATATATATATATAATTCTAAGAGTCTAAAGAAACAAAAGAGCCAAACCAAATCATCTGCTCAGCCGTGCGCTACATCGACAAATCGCTCAGGAAGCCCCAGTTCAACGGCTAAGTCAAACGCTTCCCAGAACAAGGAACTTACTTTGGCCTCTCTGAAAGAAGAGGTGGAACCCAAACGCTCCAAGATGGTTTTCCTTTACAAAGGAGTTCCACTCAGCTTCTCACAATTGGTCAAGAGAGGCTCTTGGGGAACAAGCCTCTTCACATCTGCTCAGGACCGGTGTTTCAGCCAGGTGGCCTGTGCTGTTTGGTGCCTCAAGGCGCTCAGGACCGCCCGACAGCCGCCTTGACAGTCGCTATTGGCAAATTCTTGAGCAGTGTCCAAGAGGAGCTCCAGGCAGCAGGTGATCTCCGTAGGATTCAACGCCTCGTTGGGTTCTTTGATCCGAAGCAGCCAACGAGCGACGACAACAGCGACAACAGTCGGCAAACACATGGCCGGCCGCCCGAACACGGCTCTCAAACAAGACTCAAATCATCTCAAACCACACTTTGGAAACTGGGCCACCCTCAGTTAAGAACCGAACTAACTCCAATCTGGCTAAACTGGGCGACCCTGAGTTGAGAAGCACCTCCAAACAGCAGCTCGAGTTTTTCACCTCTCCCACACACGATGATTCGGCTGCCTTGAGTGCTTCGGCCGCATGCACCGCAGCCAGCCCCACCTTCCGCTCCCCACCGGCACCCAGCCTGGGCCGAGTTGATGTTCGGTGTCCGTGTAGGGTGAGGTTGTAAGACCTAGGATTGAATAGGTACAAGTATGCCAACGTTGGCCTAGTTACCTTCCCTCCAACAAACCTGGAAGTGGACAACCTCCTGCTAGTTGCGGAACATCGTCTTCCCACTGCCCATGCCATCTCCCACACGCTCTTTGGAGAAATGGATCGTCCGAGTGCAGACGTGATGGAGACTGTTGATAGTTGGAGATGTAAGACCATTGTGGACATGCATGTTATACGACAGTGAATGTTATAACATTTGTATAACCTAACCATAGGGGTTATTGACGGTATTGTTGAGTCTAGTCAAACATCCAACCCGCAACCCATATGGGATTGTTGACACACCACCGGTAGAATACATCGGGCATCGCCGGGGATTCAAGCCGCGCAGGAAGGTCATGGTAAGATCGGATCAAGCAGTGGTCGTGCCAGATCTATCCCTATAGTAAGTAGGGCTCCAACCATATTCCTCAGAAGATGGTTAGACCCCCCCACCCACCCCAACCATCTTCTCAGGAGGTAGTTGGAGCCCTAGGCTATTAGTATGTTGGGTTGGTCTTCGCACGCCGGTGATCAATCACTCACATGCGACGCACGTCCACCTCACGTCCACGTTCCACTTCAAAGACCCAAGTGAAGGTGCAATCTGATCAGTTCTGATTCTCCAGAACATGTTGAAACCACCAGACATGCAGAGTCCTTTTTGATGCCTTGAGAACGGACAAAACATCTGAAACAGTCTGTTTCACCCTAAACCGGTCAACGAATTGAACCAACAGATCCACAGATCTTCGTTCGATCCACAGATCCCATCGATCCGTACGCTCTGCACAAGCTCGCAACTTCGTCTTCGTCTTCGATCGATGATCGATCAGGGTGGATCATGGAGGGCCATGAACATCTCCACTCACTGGTGTTTACAGTAATGTTTAAAATAAGAACTCCATCTGTGATTTATAAAGTAGACGCTTGATGAATAACCACCCCATTGAACAACCTCTTCAGGCCTGGGGGGTGGAAATATCCAGATTCTACATTAAGAACCCCCTTGAGTGACTCGATCTTTCGATCACCAACTGGCGAAAGAAAAGCAAACGGCTCGATCTCACGGGGAGTGTGGAAAGAGCTGGAAAAAAACACAGAGATGACGCAATTCCACCCAGTCATGGTTCCTTTCGGAAGAAACCCCAGTCAGCAAATACCATCCCAAAAGCTCCACCACTTCACCACCACCAAACCCCTCTCTTGCGGTCCGCCCCAAAACCCTTCCGCGGACTCCAGCTTCCCCCCGCTGGTCCGCCCGGAGTCCGCTGGTCTGGCTTCGTCTTTCCGTTGCGTCCAGGGCACAGCTTGCACGCGGGCCCAGCGGAGCGGCCCAGCAAGGACAAGATCTGCAAGGCCTCCCAGCCTGTCCGGTCTGGTGAGCACGAGGTCGGTCCGGTGGGGACGGAACCCGAGGCGGAACTGGACAAAGAACATGGAAGTGCTATAGTGATTCACCATAGACTCCCTCACCGGAATCACAGTCCCAAAATTGAAACCCCCAATAAAACACTGACTCACTTAAGAATGTTCTATATATATACCCTTGCTGTGATCAGTCCTCTATCGTTTGACTAAAGGCCACTGGTAGATGTTCCTAAAGGAAGGGTGACCAGCTGGCCACACAGGGTTCTGAACTGATCAGGAATCCAAGTTGCACCTCCAGACCAATCAGTCCAAATCGGGCAAAGATTCAACGGTTTTTATTCATGGCCGGAGACATCGACTCCAAATGGATCTGTTCAATTCCATCAATGGAAGTTCCTGAAGCTTACGAAGCATCAACACATTAAAGAAAAGCTAGCTCTTTTCATGGAGCGACAAAACTCCAAAAAGTGTTCGTTTCTTTGGTTCGCCAGTATAAAAAGTGCTACGATTGAATGTTCAAGTCGGGATGCAATTAGCTAACTCACTTCTCACTGTCTTGCTTCCGACCACGAGTGCCTGCGAGAGAGGCATGAACCTTCGCCTTGAATGGGGCGGGGACGGCAGGGTGACCGACGACTGATTTTGGATTGAGAAAGGGGAAGCAACATGGAGCAACACCATGCGTAGGTTACAAGTGTCATCCAAATGCACCAGGGCAACATCAGCCTGTCAAAAGGCAGCATCACTCCTCACCAGGGAAGGTCATGTTGGCTTGACTGGCTTCTGGTCCAAATATACCCTGCGGCCCTACTTGAGGGCCGCAGGCGTAGTCTTGACAAGTCCAAATCGGTCTGACTCTTTCGACGGGGTCGGGTTTTTTCCAGTGATGACCCTGAAGGCACAGAAGAGATCTCAGGCTTAAACAAAATTAAAACATGGATCATCTTGAATGACTTGGCAATTGCTTTCTTCCGATCATGTCTATCTTCGATGAGGTGCTTCAACGGTTGTTCACCGGATATGATGTGCCTGCTTGGGAAGTCGGTTGAACCATGACAATGTCTGCCCAATCTTCCAGGTGGCACCAAACAACAACGTAAACCAATGAACTATAGTCTATAGATGTCTATAGTCACGAATGATATCGACACTCATGTCGCGCACCAGCATCAAACCCGCACCAGCTTTGTTTGTGTCAAGATGTCACTCCTGTTGGGCCACACCCTGCTGTTGTGTTTGAGAGTCAGCCCCATGGGCCCCATAACCCCTGTCAAAGGATGAAAGTTTGGGGAGGTCTTCATTCAGCATTGCACTTATTTATATCCCCCCTTCCACACCCATCACCCATGTAATTATAGGATTGTGGGGTCACTATAATGTCGGATATATATTATATATGGATAAGTTAGAGAAACCCATTTCATCACATTCAATGATACTAATTCTTCTATCTTATCCTTGAGGTCACCCCACTTGCCGAACCTCACGTTCCCGAACGTCTTTCCCGAACCCGTCCGGTTCACCACGGATTTGGTGAACCCAATTCCGACCAATCCCGAGTGTTTCATCAAGAGCCTTTGGGCTAATACAGAGTGTTACAATGGGTCCCGGTTTTTTTTTGAGTCTACCTGGGCCCAGTGGATGATGATGGTTAAAGGATGTTTAAAAAAAGGCCTTGTCACAAAATGATGATAATTGTTAATGACTGTTACAGGTAATGGGACAGACCCTAACTATGGGCCTATAAACACTTTGAGATCAGACCTCAACATACCTCAACTCTTGGGGCACTCCCACTTGCTCCGACCAAGGGACTAAAAGATCGAGACAAAGGGTGGTCTCCTCCTTCGTCCATTGAGTCTGACGAAAGAGCTGCGTTAACCTCAGGAGTTCCAGCTGCGCTGTGCATGAGAAGTCGGTTTTTACTCGTTGTTAATGGCGTCGTTTCAGTGGTCGAACACTGCCATGGTGAAATGAGATATCTCCTGACCCCATGGACCCGGACCTGAACCGTTGGACCCATTCATCCTCCCTTCAACTCATTCACATCGAGCCGTCGGACTCGTCGACCACGCTTCCCACCCGCTCGGCCCACGTCGACCCCTCTCGGGTGTCCAGACCAGCCCACGTCTTGCTCCACCAGCTCCGGCGCGAGACTCCAGACCTCAAGGGCACATGCGGGAACGCCAGACACAGGCTCTGAAGAGCTCGACGCCGGACGTTGGGAAGGCGATGTCATCCAGCAGCTCGCCACCCCAGTCCAAGGCCCAAACAGCAGGTGTTTTTGGACTCCAGCCCACCCACACGGCCTCGCCGTGTCCAGCATCGCGCCGTGTCCATCGCACCAAGTAGCCCATTCCTTCTCAGCCTCACTCCAGTTCCGCGAGCCGTGCCGCAACTGCTCCAGCAGCCGCAGCAGCAGTGCGCGGGCAGCGCTGCGGACTAAGGGAAACGGAATGCCCTGCAGGGACCAATGGACCGATGAGTTGTCAGGCCCTGTGGGGAGAGGGAGTTTAGTGGCTCGGTCAATTCATGAGCCATTTGGAATAACTGCACTACACCTTAAGGGAGCTAGATGTACGCCAGTTGCACAAAGATCCAAAGGAATCCAAGCAGTTGTAGGTCTGGTCGTGATGTTTTTTGTTCAGAACAAAGAGAACAAGTTCATCTGGTCGACAAATCATCAGTCTATGTTAACATAATTATGATATGTATACAGTGCTTTCAAAGTACAGTAGATGGCATGGGGCCCCCAAGATATCTTTTAGACGGGACCAATATATAAACCACCGAACTTAGGGATTATGCCATCTACTCTCAATGCACTAAATTATTCCAAAAAAACAAACAGAATCACGAGGGATCCTCCTTTTCTGATACAAACTCATGTATACCCATAGCCTCATGGTGTATCATTGAAACTATCTCTACGTAGAATCGCTACCAAGATCCAGGTCTATGACTCCCGCGTACAGTATCTCCTCGACCTCGAGCATCTCCTCTTCGGGCTTCAGCACGGTGGCCTCGCGAGACAGAAAAAACAGAAAACGGACGGATTGTTTGCATGTGGTCTGCTGCTGCCGATGATGATTATTGTATATTACTAGTATGTACATTCTGTAGTACTAGAATTGTTACTCACGTTACTGATGCCCTTTACTATTGTGATGATGAAGAGGATGCGGAGGAGGAGGAGGACGAGGAGGAGGAGGAGGAGGAGGGTGATGATGATGAGGAGAATGAGCATGAGGGGAAGAAGGAATGGGAGGATGCAGGCAAGAGCCAGGATGAGGAAGAAGAGGGTACTTGCTTTTGTTGCCAAGAATCTCCGAAATCACTTGGACTAAACAGTATTGAAACATATTGAAACATGGACGTCAAAGTTGTTAAAGGATCAGTAAAACTCTTGTGACCAGGCAACTCTTGTGCACAAAGAGAGGCCCACTGGACAAGATGAATGAATGGATTCCGCTGAGTTGTCCTCGCTCAAACAAACATGGCCGCAACACGGTGGAACAAAAAATACAAATAAAACAGGTCGTCCAAGCTCCTTCTCGACCCAAGCAGCTCTGCTAGCTCGAAGCCGTGGTTTGATCCAGTGAGGCAGCTTCCCCCTAACTGCTCACCGCACGTGGCACAGAAAAAATAAACAGCTGCACCTTCATCATCTGTACTTCCAGCGCCAAGTGCTGTGGCTCGAAACCCTTTTCACCCAAGGGCAGCCGTTGGTGACACGAGCTGCACAGGAAGACCTGGAGCGGACGCTTCCCACTCGTCACTCGACCGTGGGTGGTGTTTGGGGCACCCAACTCCTTCCTCGCACCGGCACCCCGTCGAACGTGACCGGGACCGGCACCAGACTCAGAGCTTTTGTTCTCCTTTCTCAGTGATTGGTCGCGCCAGTCGTTATGATTTCAGATTCTCCTTGAGTCAGATCCAAGACCTCAACCTCACGGCGCCCACCCGCGCCCACCCGTGGTCCTCGCGCCGGACCGCGTTCCGTCGTGCCGGTCGTCCTTCCCGCCTGACCGGGCTTGGGCAGGTGGGTCTCCAGGAGCGGCGTGCCGTTCCCGAAGTAGTTCACGTACCAGGGACCTCCAGGCCGATCCCGGCGCCGAAAGGAGGAACAGGGCCCTGGAAGGGCTTCCGGTCGTTCCCAACATGGTTTCCAGCAAAAAAAGAGTTGAAAACTACCTGGTAGACTGGTTGTAGAGGAAAGTTGTCTTCCAAAGGTCCATGAAAGGTGGTCGTTTTTTGGTTCACCAGTTGAAGAAACATCCGAGTCAGTGAAAAATTGGATCATCCCATGAGAATATCTGAAACCACCACATGGCACGCCAAACAGCCACCTTTGATGCCTCCAGGAAATGCTTTAGATGTCTATATGAGAAACAACCTCCAGGAACAATCTTTGTTCCTGGAGGTTGACTGTGTTTGACGTCCATGAGAAACTGTAATTCATTACTGTTTGCCCAACACTATGAAGCTTATGAAGAACAGTCCAGCCAGTTCCCTCAAAACTGCTTAATGGCGTCCAGAACATCCACTGGGCTGAGGTGTTCACTCCCCGACACCGAACTGAGGTGATCACTCTCGGATCTGCTCAAGATGAAATCAAATGAAACTATAAACATATGTTTAACAAACATCAGATGTTGGTGATTCATCCAGTTTGGGACAATAGAAATCAAAACAACTATTGAGACTTCTGTTGTCTCACCTTTTCTCCGCACAAACCCAGAACTGCGGGTTCTAGCTTTTGGACCCGTCACAGCATACAGACTTCTAGACATGGGATCGAATTCGAGCGGGTCTGGAGCTGGGCTCGCTGTAAAAACCTCAAACTGGTTGTGAAAGGAACACAGCAAGGCAAACTTTGGGTTCACGGATTGACATGAATGTTGTTTTGTTTCCCCAAACAACGGGGAAATCGTTGGGAAGTAGTAAGCCGCCCCTCCCGGCCCCGTCCAAACCATGCAAACAACTTGTACGCCAAAGGTTTGGGGGCCAATACCGGGTATACTACATGTGGAGTCTCATCCATGGGAGGACACCCCGTGGGTTTTATCTAGCTCAAAATTTCTGGAACCAGGTGTGTGGAACATCCAACAATACTACAGTATATAGGAGTGGACGTTTTGTGGAGGGATTCACCAAAACTCATTTCATTGGGTTCGTGAATTCAGTTTTTTGTGTGTTTGTGCGCTGAAAAACAACCCTGGTGGCCCTGGTGATCTTTCAGGGAAGACTTGCCATGTATGCCTGTTGTTTAAGGTCGTCCATGCATCAGGTGTGACAACCCGGACTTCCCATGTGTTAATCAAGTGTTACCTGCCCAAACAATCCATGTATGAAATCATGTTGCATACATATACCCCATCATAGATTTAATGTAGATAACTTTAACCATTTACATGGTCAAGAGAACATCTTGTGTTCTTTTACCCTCCCGATGTCAACTCACATGGACCCTGACGTCCTAGCTCCGAAGATGGTTTTTCCTCTAGCAACCAGTGGTTTTTCCATGTGGACCTCTTCCAGGGTGTACCAGAATTTCTACTGAAACATCTGGCACGCCTCCACTCTGAGGGCCTCCCAAGGACTCCGTCCGTTTTGCATACGGTCGGCATCGTAGATGCGTTGCATCGAAGATCCGTGGGCTCTACGCGCGCTCCGACAACAAGAAGCGGTCATCATGAATGAGTGGTGTGACATTGAAAGCCTTTACTACTCCATTCCGTCTTCCAACGATCCAAGTACACCAGAATCAGAAAACCGCTGCTGACACCCGCTGCTTTCCAAGAACGACTTCGCACCCCCAGACCACTCTTCGCGCTCAGACCGCTCGTGGCCGCCGCATGCCGCGCCGCATGCCGCGCCGCATGCCGCGCCTTTTAAATGCCGTGGGCAAAAGAAGAAGCCGCAGCCACTGCAGCGAGACTTCTCGTTGGGCCCAAAGAGGCGGCTGCAAGAGGAGTCAAGGCATCCTGAGATGCACCGCGCGCTGGTCGGTTGGAGTCGGGCGGAGTCGTTGATCGATGAAGGTCGTCAGGACGTCAGGACGCCGCAAAGGAAAACAAGTCTGACTGATAGATATTGATAGGCAAAAAAGGTTCCAACATGTTCCAACAAGGCAGGCATGTGGTGTCTACTATACTATTGTCCAAACAACGATATATGGAATGTGTTTGGAGCCACAACTATGGCCCGCTCCAATTGACGTCTTCCAATCCAGCATCTAAAATGAAGAGTAAACAACTGATATAGACTGATTTAGAGCAAACGGGTGGACAACGTGCGACCGAACCTCAAAAACTCGACTGCATGGGTAAGTAGTGCCAAAATTCCTTCTTGAAACACCAAGGAACACATTTCCAGTGAGTCAACCCCCCCCAAAACAGGACAACAACATCCCGGGGGCGGTCCGTGCATCGCGCGGTCCGCACAGCGCGCGGTCACCGCAAAGTCAGCTCGGCCGGGAGTCCCATGATCAGATCCTCGGGCACTCCATCCGAACGCGCCTCACAGGCGCCGACAGGTTCGCGAGATCTCGAGGAATCCAGGATCCGGCTGCTTGGTAGTGGTAGCTGACCATAGAGACAGAAGTGCCAAGAGACCACTATAAGAAAAAGGACATGACATATACAAATTTTCCAAATGCCTGCTAGCTAGTATCAGTAAGTGTGTTGTTTTCTGTGAACAGTGAATCGGTGACACTACATTCATAAGGAAGCAGTGGTGACAACAACGAAGACACAGTGTAGACTTTCGAAGTTCATTCTTGTAGATACTAAATGCAACCATGTGCCAATTGGAGCAGTGGTATGCACGTCCCGAAAGCAGGTGACAAAAGCGTTATAAAGGCCATCAATTGAATCATATTGAATCTGTCGATATTCATATATATGTGGAATTGTTCAGCTGATTGACAGCTTCATGCATTGAGGGATGTTGAGGGTGGGGGGTTTTCCAAGCCAAACTACGAAGATTGGATAAAATATATATTCTCTGGTACTTCGGACTCGGCCCATCTCAGACCTCTGGCGTTCATGTCGTTCTCCCGAAAAAGCGCATCGATCGCAGGTCAACGATGGAGCCACGAGAAAGCCGCCTTATCGAGGTGGGAGCCACTCTCGCTAAAGGAGGAGGATCGGCTGCATTTGGAAGTGGCAGTTGCTACGACTTCCCATCCTGGGCGAAATCTGCGAGATCTGCAGCGCCAACCACTCGATGGCGGTCTCACCCATGCTGGTACATGGTTCAATGATGTTCAATGATTTGTATGCCAAAGCCAGGACAAAAAGCCAACCATGAGACATACCACCGAGTATTGACATTCAGTGACCCCTGCATACCTCTGCAAGCCGGCAATTACCCAAAGTACATGGAGTGAAGGCGCGCCAGGATGGCGCCAGGATGGGTTCCTGGGAACGAATCATGTTCGGGGAACACATGAGCCTCCGACTCAAGTGGAAAATGGATCAACGTGGTCCACCGTGGTCCGTTGGATATCCTGGATGATGCTTTTCCTCTACAAACAAACAGGTTGTTTTCCACTTCCATGTTGCTTAGATGGGCCTGGGCTTTGCTAGTGTGTTAAGACTTTAAGTGACTTTATTAACAAAGTAGTATCTGATTAGTACCTCTGTAATAAGATGATATAACAAGTTATAACGGTGGTACTCAACTGTAAGTTAATATGACACTTATATAAAGTTTGCCTAACATCATTAATGAAGTTAAAGGAAATTATGAATGTTGTTTGTTTTATGTAAACATTAGCTAAGTTTCTTTAGCTATGTTAGGCCTATTAGCTAATAGTTAGCTAAACTAGCTAACCTACAAAAATGTCGATTTTTCTTTCTTCAAATTTCAACAACAAATCCAAAAAAACAGCAACTTATACATGTGTGGTGGAACATGTTGCAGCGTTACAAATTGAAATGATGGTAAAAATCGACCACAAATGTTTGTCAAAACTGTTTGGGATACATGTGTTCTGTTTTCAGACAAGCAAACTTGTGGTTTGCTGAGAGAGCAAAGAAATGCCACAGCTTGTGCAAGCTAATCTTTTGGCATGCCTTGCTATGTTGAAAATGTTCCAGCTCTGCAAAGCTTGTGTTTGGAAGCATTGAGCATGCACATGCTGTTGGATGTGCAGCTTGTGAAGGCTTCCTGTGGCACTTTGAATGCCAGGTGATGTGCAGCTTGTGAAGGCTTTTTGTGGCACTTTGAATGCCAGGTGATGTGCAGCTTGTGAAGGCTTCCTGTGGCACTTTGAATGCCAGGTGATGTGCAGCTTGTGAAGGCTTCCTGTGGCACTTTGAACGCCAGGTGTCAGCTTGAATCAGTTTTGTTTGGGAAGTTGAAACCTAGTAAAAGCATGTGCGTTGCTGTTTTTCACAGAACAAAAGCATGAAGTGCAGCAAGCAGGTTGCAAGGCAGCAAAGACATGAACACACAGGACAACACCTGAACACAAGACATCAAACGATAGACTGGTTGAGGCACTTGGCCTTGCTTTGTTTGCAATGGAGCCAAGCTTGCAAAGAGCTTTGGAAGGTGTGAGGGATGATGAGAATTTGGCCATCAACCTCAAGCTGAGCAAGGTGTGCCAGCTGTTGTCTGAGAATGGGCTCTTGTATGAGCAACACTTGGCACCCTCATGCCTGACAGTGCACCCACAGAGCAGAAGTGGGTTGATGTTGAATAATGCTTTTGATGTGCATGAGAAAGGGCTGCTGGCTTTAAAGATGGGATTCCAAGGGAGCAAAGTGGCTGAATCATTTTGCTTTGAACTGAGCAGCAAGAAAGAAGAAAGGGACAAGCAAGTGGGTGCTATGAGGGCTCTTGTCACAGCTTCAGAGAGGAAGTTGGCACCAGTGAATGGTACTGAGAGGTTCATGAGTGTATCATGCTCCCACATCAGCCAGTTTCTCAAAGCTGTTGGGTGTGGTCAGTGTGTGACAGAGAATGAAGAACTAGGTGAAAGCTTCCTGACAGTGGAGACCTTGGAAGCACAGTTCCCTTCAGATCACCATTTTCAATCAATGGTGAGGAATGGATGGCAGTGGCATTGCATCAAGAGTGAAGTGGAGGAGTGCTGCCCATGGATGCCACAGCTGCTTCAGGCAGCCTTGAACAGTGGAAATGAAATTTCCAAACAATCCACAGAAATGGAGATTGCCTTGAGTCTGGCCTACACTTACAAGACATCTGCCAGCATGGAGAATGCTTGTGCTGTGGTGAAAGCAGCCACAAGCTTGGGCTATGTGGATGCAATCAGCAAATGGGTGAGGCTGTATGCAGGAGGTGATGACTTCCCCCTGGTTCACCTCTTGGCTTCAATCCAGAAGCTGTTCAACAGCAGCCACTTCTTGGGTGAAGAATTCATGGGCAGTGTTGCAATGGCAACATTCAAGCCCAGAGAAACCACTTACCCAATGGTCAGAGCTGCTATGAGGTGAAGCCTTCTCCCAGTTTGGCTGGGCATGGGAAGCCTGCAGTGGAGGAAAAGCAGGAGGTGAAGATGGATGATGTGAAGCCTTCTACCAGTATGGCTGGGAATGTGAAGCCTGCAGTGGAGGAAAAGGAGGAAATGAAGATGGGTGGGGTGAAGCCTTCTCCCAATACTGATGGGGGTAAGAAGACCTCAGTGGATCACTAGAATAAGGCTGAGGTGAAGATGGATGAGGTGAAGCCTTCTCCCAGTGCAATTGGGAATGAGCAGAAGCAGTACCCTCCAGCAAAGAAACCACCTGTGCCACCACCAATTATGATGCCAACAGCCAAGGTGAAGCAGGACAGTTGAGATTTCGGAAGCTGAGTATGTGGATGGCCTGTAGAGGCTTAAACTGCAGCTGATATAGGCTTAGTGGTGTAGCCTCTATAGGCTCAACCCAGCCCCTACAGGCTCAACCCAGCCTTTACAGGCTAACCTTTTTGTGAACTAAGGCTTTGCTATTGCAATACATTTTATGTTTATGCATTTGTTCACACAACCTGCAGGAACCCTCCAACAAGGACAAGAATGTGAAGGATGAGTACCTGCTATGGGAGGAAGGTATGGATGCTGGATGGGCACAGGACCAAATCAACATGTGCGATCAACAAATAAACAAATCTTAGAGTACAGTGTATTGACTTCTGATGTGTATAATTGTTATCAGTGTTGATTCAACACCTGCAGGATGGAAATGGTGAGTGGGCATGGTGGGAGAAGGATCTACATCAGGAGAACTTATGGTGGTGGGTGAAGAATGGCCCCTGGCATCGGTTCAAGGTTCAGGTTCATGATGACTATGGACCAACTGGAGGTGGATGGATGGCAAAGGCACTTGCACTATGCCACATGCACTACAAGAAGGAGAATGAATGCCTGAAGTATTCATTGGAGAAGCTAGCATGCCATCCAAGCATCACAAAGTGCTGGAACAAAATCCAAGCAGGGTATGATGTGAAAGGAATAAAGATTTATGGCCAGTACATTTGATGTGCACAGACACTGGCCTTTGAAATGAGTGCATTGGAGATGCACTGACTGCACAGTGGATGTACAGTGACTTGCGCACAACAGCTGCGACTGGAAATGAAAAAAAGCAATTGTATGCCAAGTGTAGCCTATATAGGCTTTCACTCTAGTTTGCACAGACTGAGACCTAGCCTGTACAGGCTCAAAAAACAGTCAAAACCTAGCCTGTACAGGCTCAAAAACAGTCAAAACCTAGCCTGTACAGGCTCAAAAACAGCCAAAACAGCCTGTACAGGCTTCTTTGGTATCTGTATTTGATTTTAGTTTTCTAAAATCAAATACGACAAAATTGTATT